AGTCAATTTGTGAATTTTTGACCTTAAGGGCCCTTTTCTCATGACGGCAGTCATATATATATATAAATATATATATATATATATATATATATATATATATATATATATATATATATATATATATATATATATATATATATATATATATATATATATATATTTCGTGAATCATTGTTTATTTTTATTATTATTAAGTGCGAGTAAGAAAGACTTGCAATTTGTCTTTCATATGGATTTATCAAAATACTTTGAGTTTTCTTTAATTCTTTAAGAGGACGTTTAAAAATCCTTCTGTTGCATTTAGTTGAAAAAAATCTTAGATCATCACTTTAATCAAAGGGATATGCTCATATAAATTCATCATTTCTATAAGGAAGCTGTATTAACTTTATGCTGCAATTTTAGTAAGAGAATATATTGATATAGAATAATATATATATATTTTTTTTAATATAGATTTATGTTTGAGAATGTTCCCCAACATTGGACATTTAGTTTTCAAAAATTTGTTCCAATATACAAAAGCCTAAAATGCCACTGAAAGCAGATTCTACAAGAGCAATTGAGAAATTTAGGCGTTGATCTTTTTTTTCTGTCAATTTGCTCATTTATCTACTAAAGGACTTATCGCCCGCGGGGAACTGTGGTTAGATTGTTTGCTCTAGAGTCGCGGAGTAAGGAGTTGATTCTTACGTCCAAGGTTCAAATCCCACACTCTAGCACTGATACCAGTCCTTCAGATATGTACAAATAAACCTAGGTCCAGATGTTGGCCCGAAAAAGATCCCTCACTGCTCAAAGACCGTAAGTCTCGGGTACAGCCTAACAGGTCTAAATTTGAAACCCTCCACGGGCAAGTATTGGCGTCTCAATATCGAAGGAATGCTAAACAAACAAACAAACAAACAATGTAAAGAATGGGGATATCGTAGTTCAACATAGTTTCCAGAGTAAGAGACCATCCTCTTAGTTTAGATACTCAATCAAGCTACACAAATTTAATATTTTAACAATAATGACTCAATTTAGTTGCAGTATTTCTTGTTTGAAATTTACATATTTCTTCAGAAAGAAAACTGTTATTCTACAAAGATTTGCTTTTAATATCGCAAGAAATAAAGTGTCATAAACTTTTAAAAAGGATGCTTCATTCTTATAGGCTCTTAAAGATGTTACAAATTGGAAGGTTATCAAGTCAATTATTTATTCATTCATTCAATCTTAAAATACTAATAGACGTAAATATGCTAGAGAAACATATATATCTTTTGATCATGAAATTCAATATTGATACATATAATTATGCCAAGATCATTAAAGCACTGTAAAGGCATTTTAATTCGAAAATCAATAGAGCCCATTATAATCTGAAAGATGTGAACAAGACGATACACTACCGTACGAAAGTCTATTGGGATAAATCTATGGAGAAAGCAAATATTAAAAGGCAGTTACAAAGCAAAGTGAATAGTAATAACGCCCAAAAAGGGGTTAAAAATAGCATAAAATGAAAAGGATTTATAAATCGAAAAATTTGAAGTAACGCAACAGAAAGACGCAATTGTGCCTTTCAAAAAGGCGTTATTATGTCTTTTCAAAAGGCATTATTACCCCTTTGAAAATCCTTAAAAAGCGAAAAACGGCATGCAAAAAGGTGTAATAACTCAAAAAAATGGCGTTATAACGCCTATACAAAATGCAATACAAGGCCTTTCAGAACGTCGTTATAACGCCGTTTTAAAAGAAAATGGAAACGCATTTAAATGTGTAATAATGTAATAATGCCTTTTCAAAAGACGTTAAAGATCATCAGAACTGTCGGCATGTATACATTAGATTTTTTGATTAAAGTCTATGAACTTTCAAGATAATTTGTGACCAACAAAACCCTAATCTTAGGTATTTGCTCAGAAAACATGAATTTCATTTTTAAGAGGTTATTTTCAGTGAATGACTATTTTAGCTCGACTCAGGGACTGAAATCTTGACCCTCGGGACATGAATTTCACAATTTGGATGGGGCTTATTGTTCAAAAATAATTTAAACAGATTGTACTCAGATATCCAGGAAGAAAGATTTCTAAATGTGCAATATATTTTCAATTTAGCCATGTGGGTATGTTAAGGCAACGTCCAAATATTTGAATTATTTATACAATATGACGTTATAGTAATCCATATAATGTATACAGGGTATCTAAATACTTATATTTAAAGATTTCAAAAAAAGTTTTAGAAGTTAATGGAAATATGCAGAATAAAATATACTCCAAATCTTGCAATTTTTAGATGGTATAATTAACCCTCTTCCCCGCAGTCACGCATTTTACCGCATATACCATTTCCTATTTCTAACGCAAAATCACGCATATACCGTTTCCCCGCAATCACGCATTTTCACGCACTTTCAAAAGTAAAATTAATCTTCAATTTTATGCCAATTCCCTTCTAATTTATACTTGCTAAAACCTCATAAAATAAAAAATGTTTTAATCTTACTAAAATATTACGTCAATTATTTACGCTAAACTTTGGAGAAACTTCTATGACGTGAACATTAGGTGTATGTTGCGTTACAGTTCAGTAAGTTGTAAAGAGTTAATGAAGTATTCATCATGGGGATTAAATACCTAAACCATGCCGTCGTAACTGTTCACAAAATATAAGCCTAGTGAAAATGAAACGGAAAGAGAAGTCATGTCAATAAATATACGAACGGGAGTTTAGAAGCATATATATAAAGTGAAAATCATATATGATTGACAAGGAATTAAACTTAGAGAATTATTTTCATGAATTGTATTTCCAAAACTGAAGACAGGCAGTGTTTTGAATTCCGATAAGTTTTTTTTCTCCGTAATTCTGAACATCAAAGATGCAAACGTTCACCGCTACGCCGCATATTTTTTTGACATAATTTTTGTCCATATCGAGTGCATGTGTTCCATAGTACTTGGAAATGCTGCTAGAATTGTGCGGTTAACGTGAATTAATGAATTTATTTGATCGTATGTACAGAATAACACTAATACATAATGCTAATTTTGGTAAGGGTTAAAGCGAAAGTGTGGAATGATTATTTTTCTGACGGAAGAGTAGGATTCTGTCAGCACTTTTGATGGCCCAGAGATGTTTTCAAAAATCCAATTTTACAAACAGAACTGAATCATCCCCGGGGTAGTGTTGAACTTTTCCCTTTTCATAAACACACATTTTTCTCTTTTTTTATAGACGTCACATGATGACTCCGTTGTGGAGTGCTCCTTTTAGTTTAAGTGTCATTGACATCTATACGATGGGTTATAGTAGTAATTGTTTTATTCGTGGCTTTTCTGGGTTATTTACGTTATACTTTACAGAGTGTGAATCTGTAAAATTATGTTCTGTGCCATAACATACTTCCGCTACTTAGCCTTTCTTTGATGCAAGAGACCTGAACCAAAGGTCATGGTTTTCACAATTTTGATGAATGTTTGTTGTTCATTTATACCAATATTAATAGTTTGTCTGCTTTTGTTCCAATTAAGAGGAAAGAAAAGATTTTCGAATATGAAATAATTTTTAATATATGACCAGCAAAGTCCCAAGCTTTACCAGCCTAAATCCTGGAATTTCACAAGTGCAGTGTTTTCTTAACTTAATAACATGCAAACAGTTGTGTGTTAGATGTGCAGGAGTATAAATAGTATTTAATATATCTAAAAAATAAAGATGGCTTCGATTCCACCATTCATATAAATGCATTATCAAATATTTATCCCTGAATGTTTAGTTTTCAACCTACTTGATAGTAATGCTGTTTTGAGACACAATTTAAGATATGCATTGTATGTATGCATTGAAAAAAAAAAATACAAAATTGCTATTTGATTTCCGGATAATATTTATACAAGTATGTTCAATGCAGATACATGTAAAATAATTACCGTTTATGTGGAATGTTAACCTAGACGCAAATTTAGCTATTAAATTAAGCCTTAAACTCGGAATTAAATTTTATCGAGAAACAATTTTAAGGAATTGACAATGTTTTTTAATTGTTTAAGTGTTTTTGATTCTCTTAATCGGCATGTAAAACTTCAATGGATACATAATGTCAATTAATTTTTATGGTTTGGATGATCAGATTTATGAATGTATCAAAAGTGGATATTACTCAATATAGTCTAACATTTGCTGATGGAACTGCGAATCATAATATTTTTGCTTCCAAAGTAGTGCTTATAATCTTTTTTATTACATACTTATTAATAAATACAGGTGTTTTGCACATGCGATATAACTTACATCACAATAGCAGGGCTGATATGGATCTGCAGGGCTGATACAGATTTATATCACACCCCTGTTAGATTAAACCTTAAAAATTAGTACTTGTAATAATACACCTATTTTTTGGTTCACATTCTTTTAACTTAAATCACTGTTCTTTGATATAATAAGCTACAAGTCATAAGTCAGTGCATGATTATTATTTTGTATTTTTCTAAAGTTGATGTGCGCTGTATTTTATTACAAAGTATGTAATAAACATAATAAAGCATAACCTATTCCACATCACATCCTGTATCAGCCCCCGACCATCATCAGCCCTTGGGCCTTCGGCCCTCTGGCTGATATTGGTATCTCGGGCTGATACAGAATGTAATATGGAAAAGGATATGTTTTATTCTCTTTGTAATATGGAAATAAGCATCATTTATTGAATTTTGACAGTATAATAATCACTTCGTATAAACAGACTAATTCAGGTAATGTTAATTTCTAATGGGAAAAGAAATCGAGAAAATTATCTTTTTAAATGCTTTAGTCAGAATTGTTTTGTAATCAATACCCATCCATTGTGTCATATGAGAAAGACAGAGAGAAAAATCGAGATGCGCATTACTGTTGTCATGCAATACTTAACTGTCGTCTGCTGTAGACGAAATTGTCGTCTGCTACAGTCATTGCGCGCGCAGTTGACAGAAACTAGTGTCGTCTTTTGATAGAGGAGAGACATTTTCGCGCGGTTTTAGGAAAGCATTGGATCGATCGTGTTTGTTAAGGCATCGGAAATATACTATTTCTGGCACATTCCGGGCTCATCTATCAAAATACAAACTTCGTAATTCTATCTGATTTAGGTAAGTCAGTATTATTTCATAATTGATTGGTCTTGGAAAAGTTCATCATATTCAAATAATATGACAATGCTCTTTACACTGAATTAAAATTTCTTCAATAATATTCATTCAAGCAACACAGAGAGGGTAAGAATATAATTTTAAAAAAATTAACTGATAAATTAAACTAACATTTTCTTATCGGTCATTTGTACAACAAGAGGCCTTGAGTTCCTTGGAACTTTTTCCACAATTGAATTCCTAATGCTTCTCACTCCTCACCTAGGAGCACAGTAAAAACAGATTATGTTCAAGATACAATATTGCTAGAATTCTTCTTTAAAAAACGTGAAACACTTGATTTTCTTTAATATTTATTGTTATATATGTACTAATAGCAATAAGCTATTAATTTTTTAACTTTCAAACAATTAAGTTACTTAGGTTTTTTCTCTGAAAAGTTACATATTTTGTTTTTTAGTCTTCTTTCTTAATTTATTTATTTACGTTTTTTTTCCAAATTAAAAAAAATCTTCAACAGGTGTTCTTTTTTTTCTAACTATTTAAGCAATAACATGATGTAGATTTCCTTCCACTCCTTTACATTTTTATGGTTTTATATGGACGCATTTAATTAAGACCTCAGTCAGGCTAGCTAGCTTAAACATGACCTATCATGTCTGAAAAACCTTAACGCGTTCATAATCGATGAAAAGTAAATGAAAAAACTTTTTAGGGAGTGATATATGGCGACAGAGCTGTCCAGGGACTCAATCTAAGTATGATGAATTATCAGAGAAGCCACTGTAGGGGCCGTGTGGTTTCAGCGTCAGCTAATACACAATATTTGACCCCAGACTGGGCCATTTCTAAGCAAATTGAATTATAGGGCACAAAAGTACTTGGAAAACAACTGATTTGATAAAAGTATACATTAATCGTGCTAACTAAAGGAAAACAATTATTCAACAACTCTGTGAATGTATTTGACATATACAGCTGTTCCATTTAATAAAACAAAGCTGAAAGAAAAATGCAGTCAAGCAAAATGTTTTCCTACAAAATTTATTCGTTAAATGGGAGAGAAAGAGAGAGAGAATTTAACAGACTTTTCTTTGCTGAAAGTATAACACGCAACAGATCATGCGTTTTCTAAAAAAAACATTTAGTAGTCTAAATAATTATATATACGGAATTAAATTTAAAAATGTTATTTTGTATAAAATATGACATTCTCTTACCCATCATTGTAGATGCATCCTTCAACAAATGCACTCTAATAAAAAAAAATACAAAATAATCAACAAAGTATAAATATAAATGGAGTAAACAAGTAAATAAACGAATTCTAAAGTGTCAGTTATGCGTTTTTTTTTTTAATTCTTCTGAACCATTTTGTACCATATTTACAGTTTGTTTCTAAGCCCTATATCCGTACATTGATTGATTTGTAACTTCAAATAAAAGATAAGAGCTACAAACGGAGAAAAAACAATCCATTGTAAAAGCTATCACTTGATTCACGAGAAGAATAGCAGAAACTAACAAACACAGATCAATATTGCAACCTAAAATACAATCACGCACGTTGCTTAACCTAATTAATGTCGAGGGAATCATAAAGGCTCGAATTTCCTCTGTTCCGACAAGATTCATCGATAAAACGAGTCTGAATCCAATAGGAGAGTGTTGTGTTATTCAAATACATCTCGCTCCCTGACGAACAGCGCTGTTTATCTTAATAAGAAACAGAAAGAAAAAAATATATATATAATTAATATATATATATTTAAATTAATGTATATCGATTATCATTGCTGAACATTTGAATCGGATTTTTTCACGTCGTATCTAGAGCGTTGGCATTAAGATAAAGACCCCGTTTTACAACAGAACTTACGACTAAGACCGACATTTCATTTTGCATATGACTTTTATTTTACATTGATTTGAAAATGGTCTGAATATTTAAAAGAATTGAAAATATATTTTTATGTTAACAATTTTAAACAGAATAATTAATTTTACAAAGTTTGACAATCAACCTAAATCTTTAGTCTTATTCGTAATTTTTTTTTAATTTGTAAAACTTGCCCCTGGACACTATCCGTTTGTCCTTGTGTCTGAACACGTTGTTATTACAGTAAAACAAAGTTACAATGAACACCTTTAAAAGGAATTCACCTTTACAGCAGAGTGAGTTTCCTTTAAATTCTCTGATATAACGGATATATAATATGTTTATAACGATCAAATTCTTTCGTTCCCTGGCATTTTGCTTAAAGCGTATTTCACTATACTTTGGAGTACTATCAATGGCTACAAACTCTACAATTAAATTAGATTATAAATTCGAAATTTTACACTATTAAACTATTTTATGTGCGCTACTTTATTAGTTTTATTGTCAATTTAGCGCAGATTGTTGATTTCCCGATGGATTCATAATCTTATATCAAGTGTATATACAACTGCGCATGTTGCAAGTGAAAATATTCTTTCCAAATAAATTTTCTGTCGATCAGAATGTCAAATCAGAGTAAATGAAGAGAGAAATTTAATAAATATCGCGGTTATTTGTCTGTTTGTTTTCATTTTGAAATCAATGGGCAAAGGATGATTAATTCCAAAAAAAGGGAAATATTACTCAATCCTTTAGGATATGGCGTATTTCCTTTCTGGAAATGAAAAAGGAGAATGAATAAAAGGACAAATTGAAATTTAGCGAGAGCTTAGGATAAAATAATTGATTTCCATGGAAGAAGCTTTTTCTTCGCAGGGCTTTTTTTCCATTAATATCGTTATTCATCTTTTCAAGCGTAAATTACCAATTATCTCTAATGAAAAATGTTTAAAGCTTTTCGTCAAAGGGAATTTTAAATAATGAAGCTAGTTTCGGAAGAATGACGATATGACAGTGAGGATACATCTCTGCTTTTTAAAACAGAAATGAAGTCAACACCTGACATAATCCAGCTTTTCTCATGAGAATATATTAAAGAATAGAATTTGTCTCAGTTTTTAAATTTGACTCAGTTTCAAAATGTGACAAGATTATTGAGGAGCATGTTGCAGAGTATTGTCTTTGTCTCATAGATATTCTGTGCCACTGACCTTTAATTGGCAAAGCAGTTTTTGAAAACCCTCTTTTCGATTCAAAACACAGATTTAAAACAAGGAAACAAACAAAAAATACCTAACAAATAAAGAAATGCAGGTTTTAATTGATACCAGAACTATTGAAGCAAATAAATCCAAACATTATATTGGACGTAACAGTTAAGTTGTTTCAAGGGTGAAAGAACCAATCAAATAATAATATCCCTTCTGAATTCCTCATTAACACATTGTCACCTTTTGTTCAAGAGATTCGGTATTCATTATATTTTAATTTCAGTTTTTACAAATACTTTGATTTAGTTCATATATTCATTGCTTTGCAGTTTTAGATTGTTTTTTAATGAAATAAATAATAATATAAAAATATTTTGGGATTTTGCTTTTACTGAAAATATGGTTGATGTGTGTTGATAAAATAATCATCTCAAAAATTCTAAAACAGAGACGTAATAAATTTCATGAGCATGTTGTTTAATAAAATTTTAATTAATATATTGTCGAAAGACCACAAATGATACAAACGACAAATAAGTGTAACTTGCTGAGTTATACCGCTGTTGTGTCGCTTTTAATCTGTTTTAAGCTATGATGATAACCGAGTTGAAATTGTTTTATTTTAAATGAGAACAAGATCTTATATCCTATCATAAAGCAGCGTTCTTTGTCTCAGCATATGCACTTTTTGATCATTTATGACAACGTAGCAAAACTGCATCAGATTGACGTCAGTTCCCCTTTTCCCACGTGATCTAACTTTCTTCATTGAAATATTCACAAAGCTACAGCAGTATCGTTTTAGGTTAAATTATGCTGTTAAAATTCTTGAAATTCCTTTTTAATGTTTCCCTCAGGATAAAACTCTGCCATTCAGTTAACTGAAAGGTGATTAAAATATTGTTGAAAGGTTACTGAATGACAGAGCTCCGAAAATATGTTAGGCCCAAAATATTGTAATGGGTTGAGACGTGGATATCTGCCTGATAAGCTCATTTGTAGAGCACCTGACTGGTGATGCAGGGTTCAGGGTTCGATTTCTGGTCCAACCATACACGTTCTCCATTCGTTTATAGATAATGTAATGGTATGGCCTATGGATATAGGCCTGGAAAGCTCAGTTGGTACATCGTCAAACCAGTGATACAGGGCACCCGGGTTCCATTTCCGGTCCAGTCAAACTGTTACAATGCCAATGATATGTACTGTTTGTTACATAATAGGAACTTGCAAAAATCTCTTATAGATCTATTCAAATTGGTTCTAAATACCGATTGATTGTTTGATTGATTGTGTGTTGTTTTACGTCCCCTTCGAGAATTCTTCACTCATATAAATACGTCACCATACACCTTTGAAGGGTTTCAAATTTAGACCTTAAATCTGCAGTCAGGGCGGGTCATTGAGCAGTGAGGGATCTTTACCTTGCCAATTCCTGCCGTGTCACGGGGGCTTGGTTTTAAGGTCCCATGCGAAAGGTCCTCAACTTTCACTTTAAAGTGCCGATCGAACGCTTAGTGAAGGAACAATTTCTACCTATTTTTTATCGACTTAGGTCTGTCGCGGCCGGAGTTTGAGTCTACGATCTTCCTATCACGGATTGAGCACTTATCCACCGAGCTGCCGTGAGGGTCTCAAGAATTGTGCAAAAATATTAGATGTTTTTTTCAATCTCAATTGCATCTCTGAAACAATTGGTTTATCAAATTTTCAACAATTTTGAAACATCTTTTCCCCTTAAACTTATTAAATAAATTATTCATTTATTTTAATTGATAATTTCAGTACCATGATAAGCTCCTAACCATCGGAAAGGGGAAAGACAGCTCTCCAAAAAATAAATCAAGCAAATTAGAAAAATCGATATCAGATCAAGAGTTTCAAACAGACAAATTCTAAATATCCCA